CCTTACATGGGTTTGTGACTCAACGTTTTTGTCGAAGTAAGTGTGTGGTAAAAAAAGCCGCACGATCCGACAGAGACTCCACGTGGCCGAATCTGGTGGAGGGTTCGTGAGACAGTGGTGGGTCACCCAAGAAAGAGAAGAAGAAGAACAGGTCTTCAGGGTTGGGGTTTACTGGTTATAGCCGGTTATTCGCTCTTCAGACACGTCTCCGTTGTTACTTGTATAAGACCAGGGGTTTAAGCCCTTGTCTCCTTCCGTAGTTTCTTTCCTCATCAAGGGTTTTTCAATTTCGAATCCTTTCCTTTGTTGTTTTTCCAGTAAAAAAATGTGTTTGATGAGATGAAAACATTTTTCTGATTCCGGTTGAGAATTCCGTTGATTCTTCTTCCTCTTTCTCTGATCGTGAGAAAGTTTTTCCGAGAAAGGTGAGAACTTTTTCTTGGATCTGCTCTTAGAATTGTGGGAACAGAGACGAGCGATTCATGTAGAACATGAAGAAAAAAGGGATTTTTATGTTAGAACCAGAAACTGTGTTTGGTTTCCATGAAAATGTAGAATTTTTTTTTCCTGGTAATTAGAAATTTATGTCTGAATTCTTGCTCTGTTTTCTCTTTTAATCAAAAATTGAGGCTTTAGATCTTCTTGGTAAATAGAAATTTTGATAATTTGGGTTCTAGCGAGGTTTTACAAATATGTTTCTCTCTGAAATTAAAAGTTTTTATGCGAATTCACGTTTACAGAATGTGAAACGTGAGAGATTGTTGTATAGATCTGGTTGGATCGGATTTCATACCCTAAAACGTGATTTAACCTAATTTGTGTTCCTGCAGGGGTTCTTCTTGTCTGAGAATGCATTTGTTTTGTTGAATGTCTGAAATGTTATACAAGTCATGGTGTTGCAAAAGAGGATGGATTATGGATTCAATGGCTATGAGGTGCCTCACACACCTCGAGCTGCTAGATCACCAAGAGTAATATACATTCTTTTAACTTTTGTCTCTCTTTAACATTTTCATGTTCCTCTTCCTCTCTGATAATATGTCTGTTTGTGTTTGTGTGGTTTACTTTTGCTAGAAGAGTGCTTTCAAGAAGAAAAGCGAAAACAATCAAATATCGTCTTTCGATTTATTGGCTGCAGTAGCTGGAAAACTGTTGCTTGAAGGTGGAGGGAATTCTTCTTCCTCAAGTAACAACGCTTCCGGTAATAATGAAGATCATTCTGCAGTTAAGAAAGAAGCAGAACCGGTTTATGTCAACGATCGAATGATGGGAGAAGAGACTAATTCTGATCATCATCATGACAATAATCCTGAAAAGAGATTCTTTGTCTCTGAGATTCTTCCAAAAGCTCATGAAATACAAAGCCTCAACAGATCTCCAAGTGATTTCCATATTGGATCTACCTCTGTTGTAACTTCTGATTGCTCTGACAAGTTTGAAGCCCAAGAATTGGCGTATGAAGAAACCAAGATCGACTATAGATCTGAGACTAATCATAAGAAACCAATGCTTGGGAGGCTAAACTGTGAACCAAAGCTATCAAGGAGTGTTTTAGCCAAAGATGAGCATCATATATGTAATGGATTCAGGAAACAGAGTCCCCAAAATCGTTCGGTATGCTCTGACGATATAGATTTACATGGTAAGGAAAATGATGATGACGAAAACTTCGCAGCCCGTTACGCAACAAAATCATTTAGGTCAACTCTGCGTATAGGAGATAGAAGAATAAGGAAAGTTTTGGCTTCAAAGTATTGTAAAGTTCCACCAAAGACGAAAGATACAACAGTAACTAATTCAGGTCAGATTTGTGGCCTAGTCATTTGTAGTTTTACCGATTTGTATGGTTTACTTATGTGTTTTAATCTGAAAATGTGTTTAGACTTGGACTTGAATCCTAGTTATTACAGCAAGAAACATTCTCTCAGAAGCTTAAGATCGGAGAGGAACTACCCAATCAAGAAAAGAAGATACTTTGATGGTTATACAGCACCACAATCCGAAGAAACTGTTAAAAATGAAGGCCTTTCTGGTTCACCTCGAAAGGGTATTAACGAAAGCTAGTCATTTATAAGGTTCAGGTGTCGAAACCACATTATGATGATTAACATTTGAGCTTTGTTTCTTTGCAGCTTCAGCTTTTCAACCATCCATAACTTGTCAGAAGCAACCAGCATTCCAATCAAGAGAATCTCACGGACACGGTATCTTTTTCTATTAAGGTTTTCTTGTTTCTATCACTCTGACTTTTTGTATTGACTCTGTTTTCATTTTTCTTTGATATGCTTAGTGAAACTTGGGATCAAGTCATTTAGAGTTCCTGAACTTTTCATTGAAATCCCAGAGACCGCTACTGTTGGTTCGCTAAAGGTTTGAATTTCTTGCTTAGAATTTCTGGAAAGGATCAATTCATATATTTGGATAATGATGAGAGAATGTACTTTCTCTTCTCTAGAGGACAGTCTTGGAAGCTGTGACCACAATCCTTGGAGGTGGATTACGTATAGGTGTTCTTGTTCATGGCAAAAAGGTTAGAGACGACAGTAAAATGCTTCTTCAGACAGGAATCTCTCTAGACACTCTTTCAGATACTTTAGGGTTTTGTCTTGAGCCTAATCCTCCTCAATCCACAAAACCGCCTTCTCCTGAAGATTCTGATCATTTTGTGCGTCCGTGTAATGTACCTCACACTCTAACAAGGTCAGTCTCACTCCATAGATCAATGTTTGTTTCTTATTTCTTTGGTGTAGAAAAGAGAATCCTTTTGCTGATGGTTACCGGAACATATTTGGTCATTAGGCGTCTCCCATCACCGGGGAAGCATGCTAAACCGAGTAACTCTGTAGAAAGTGACCTTGACTCCAAACCCTCTGCACCAAATAGGGCTAAACCAGTCTACTCAAGAGCCTTGATTCCGGTTGCTCCTCTGCATGCTCAGGCTGTAACCGTAGTCCCACCTCGGAAACCTAAGCGATCCGAGGTGGCACAGCGCAGAATTCGTCGACCTTTCTCTGTTGCAGAAGTAGAAGCCCTTGTTCAAGCTGTGGAGAGACTTGGGACCGGAAGGTAACTAGTTTGTTAATGTTACACCAAAGTATATTTCCATCAAGAATTGGTCCAAGATTGTTCTAATATTGTTGTATATATCTATCTGCAGGTGGCGTGATGTAAAGTTGCGAGCTTTCGATAATGCTAAGCACCGGACTTATGTTGATCTCAAGGTAAAACAAAACTCCTTTTAAAGTGTAGTGAATAAGGTATATGTTTCTTGTGCAAGAAGTAATTGTCTTTGGGGTTTGATAGGACAAATGGAAGACGTTGGTGCATACAGCGAGAATATCGCCGCAACAAAGGAGAGGTGAGCCAGTTCCACAGGAGCTCTTAGACCGGGTACTAACAGCTCATGCCTACTGGTCTCAGCAACAGGGGAAACACCAGTTGCTTGATGGAGAAGGACCCCAGATGCTCGAGACCAGTCTTGGTCTATAGGCCGGGGGAAAAAAGGGTTATCTTTGCGAAGTGAAAAAGTTTTCCTTTCATATATACTTTTATTTGTTTGTTAATTTGTTATGTCATGTATCTGAGAAGATTCAGTGTAAAAAAAAAGGAATGGATTGTGG